CCGCGAATCAAACATTCAAAATTGAGTAAGGCCTTACAATTGACCTTCGAACTGGGTCCTCTTGAGACTAGTTTAACAGAAGATAATAACTGGGAGTGGATACCTGAATAAAAACGCAAAGAAAAACGAGACATTGATCCTAGAAGACCCTTGGTAAGACCGGGATTTAACTGGCTGAAATACAACTTTCCCCCCCACCCTTTGATTTTTTTTTTCTATATTGTTCATTCTGCATAACAAACTTGTGAAACAAACAAAAAATCCTTCACAGCCGGCACAATTTTGTCGTCTTTTAGAGGATTTTATCCATATTGTTCCCCGATCGCATTCCGTACCGTACCGTCAAATTGAACGATCTTACAGGAATTTATGCGTTACTGGAGGTAACGCATTTCGTAAGTCCCTATCGACCGACCATGGTGTGGAAGAATTCTGTTGACGTGCTTCCCGAATTAGCTACGAATCTGATGTTGGTTTTGAAGGAATTCATGAGGCAATACTTACAGAATTTTTCCTTGGAATTTTTCAAAAAGTGGCAAGGTACGATCCTCGAACCTATGAGTAGCCGAATGGAGTAAAAAAAAGTCAACCATTGGCAAAATGTCAACCCTTGACAGTGATGCCGTTTTATATCATATTTTTTGTGTCCTACTTGTCATCATGTGTATTAACGTGCCGAACAGAATGCCGTGTGCAGAGTTGATTACCCCTTGTAACAGCCTACTTTTCCTAACTGAAAGAAGAGGAATAAGAGTTGGAACAAGGTAGAAAATTTTTACAGGTTGAGCACTGAAAAGTGCTGTTTAAATTTGTTGTAGCTTTAGGTAGTAGTAACACTTCCTTCAGCAAAAAGCAAATAGATCCGCACGGCAAGAGAGCACGATGCGGACTGAGCGTGCGCAAGGTTTTTTTTTGCACAGTTACTTTACCGCACCTTCTGAAAAAGAGGTTTTCACACGTTGCTAAGTATAGCCTTACCGACCGTATGGTTAATCCACCGTAACAAAATGTAGCTGGAACATACCAAAAACAATAACAGTAGAAATAAGAATTTATTTAATGTTTATAAAACACCATAAACTATAGAAAAAAAACTATTTTGTATAAAGTAAACATAGCTAGTAAGGGCTTTTCAATGCGGGTACTTTTCGACAATCTTTTGAATAACAAAATGGACTACTTTCCTAAATAAAATATCAGTGCCGAAAAGTTCTACTTTTTAGCACTCAGTGCCGAAAAGTGTTGCTTTTCGACACTCTTTTGAGTGTAAACAATGTTGTATGCAACTCGTTGCAAAATTCGATTTTTTTTTTCAGCTCTCGTCGTTATTATTCAACTCGGCAAACCGCTCATACCATTTGCATTTTTGCCAAAACTGTGTTTTTCAATGGAAGTGGTAGTCCCACAGTTTCATAATAGTCCAATAGTTTCATAATACTTTATAACTCAACAAATGTGTACTGGAAGAGTTTAAAAAACACCCACATGGGTTGTCTAATTGCATAAGAAGTAATGGTACGAAGCTTAAAACAAGTTATTTTTTCGGTTTTGAAGCTTCTAGCTACCGTCCAATAAGTTTGATTTCTTCAATAAGTAAACTTTTTGAAAAGATAATTTTAAATAGAATGATGCTTCACATCAATTCGGACCCAATTTTTGCAGATGAGCAGTTTGGATTTCGCCATGGGCATTCAACTACTCATCAACTCTTAAGAGTTACCAATTTAATTCGTTCAAACAAATTTGAAGGCTGCTCAACTGGAGTTGCTCTTCTAGACATAGAAAAGCATTTGATTGTGTTTGGTATGAAGGTTTGATTGCTAAGTTGAAAAAGTAAACTTTTCCATTCTATATTATGAAATTAGTTCAAAATTATTTAACTGACAGAACTCTGCAGGTAAATTATCAAAATTCCAAGTCTGAACTACTACCTGTTAGAGCAGGAGTTCCTCAGGGTAGCATTCTTGGTCCTATATTGTATAACATTCTCACTTCGGACCTTCCTGATTTGCCACAGGGTTGCCGCATATCTTTGTTCGCTGATGACACAGGCATTTCCGCTAAAGGAAGAAGTCTTCTTGTTATTTGCAGCAGACTGAAGAAAAGTTAAGATATTTTCTTTTATTATTTACAAAAATGGAAGATTTCTCAACTTATAATATTTCCACATAAGCCTAGAGCTTCGTTTTTGAAACCTAGTAGTAGTCACATAGTCACTATGAACGGAGTTCCAATTTTCTGGTCAAACCAAGTGAAATATGTTGGATTAATACTTGACCAAAAATTAACTTTTAAAGATCACATTGAGGGCATTCAAGCCAAATGTAACAAAGATATAAAATGTTTGTATCCTCTTATTCAGAACATAGTTCTGAAGATGATTTTGAAGTTGCCTCCCTCTTACAGTACTACCGAGGTACATAACGGGTGTTCAATAAAAAATGAGAACGATTTCAGTGCCGTCCAGCGCTTTTGTGAGAGCATCGCGACTTACTTGCGTTGTACGGCTGACCAGGGACCCCTTCTCCAATATTCATTGACGTTTTTTTTTAAAGAATAAACATTATGCTTTTAATAAAAAAAATACTGAATTCGTTGAAAAAAAAAATCTATATGACTGAAAAAAATCTCATTTTTTATTGAACACCCGTTAGAATTTTGAATGTTGAGACTTTAGAACAAAAGTCCAAAAAAATAAATAATAATTTTAGGCAAAAATCGTTGCAATCCTCAATTGCAACAATTAATTTCCTTTAAACATAGATAAGATTTAGTTTTAATTTTTAGTGTTAAGATTTCAATTGTTATACTGACATGCAGGTTTTAAAAAAAAACTGCTTAAAATACTTAATTACCAAGGCAGGAACAATGTAAAAACACAGTAACTGGAGGCCCTAGGTTGAAATGAAATTTAATTTATTTTGAATTTGGAACAAATAAAGAGTTAAAAAAAAGTTAATAATTTTACGCTCTTCTGTGAAGTGTGAAGTGTCATCACCTTTAAGGTGTATTCATATCTGAGCGTGCATTAGCGGAGCGGAGTAAAATATGCGTTGAAATGAGAGAGACAACTACTATTTCTGTCCCGCACGTACTTTCCCAAAATCTTCAACATCCATTGCCTCAAGTCATTTTTTTTTGCTACCTGGTACGTTCCAATCTAGAATATTGCTCTGTGGTTTGGAGTCCGAACTACAACACTGGTACTGAGAGAGTCGTGTCCGTTCAACGCCGCTTTCTGCACGATACGCTTTGAGAATGTTACCATGGAGCAACCACGTTACATGGCAGAATGGATTGCACCGCAATCTTGGAGCAAGTAAACATTAACGTCTTACCTCGAATGCTTCGTAACAATGTTATGCTGAGAATGCTACTACGTCGGACAAACTATGCAATCAACGGTGCAATAAGCGGACTGCAGCAAGCGTTTCACCGAGTTTCATCAGTGTTCGATTTTCAACTGCCACGACAAACATTTCGGAGACGTTTCTTTTCATTCTTCTCTAGAAATGTAAATGATCATGTTTGAAGTGTTTTGTAGTTTTAACTTAACTTAAATAAATTTAAAGGTTGACATATATAAATAAATGGTAGGCTATCCAGTGACGACGAGGGGGGTAAAATCAAAATTTTCAATTCCAATGTGAAATATTGTTTGCAAATGTTCAATCAAATCTGCAGGTCCTCCTAAACAGATGCCTGTGATTATATAATTCTTGCTTTCTGCTGTACCAGTGCCCGTAAGTTTGATTAGCGAATTCATCACTCGTTAGTTTACCAAATTCTACAGCCACCGCTCGCTACTGCAACCGTCGGAATATTTCATATTTAGCTGATATATTTAAATGAACTCGCACCTTGCCTATTAAACAACTGGTCTTTAAAAACGACTAAAAATGACAACTGCAGCTCTGCTCGTGATCCTAGTTCACGGTAAAAAGAACGAAATCATGTTTATGGATTCAAGGTTAACGAAATCACGATTTCATTTAGTATTTTATATAGCGATTTGAAATTTCCAAAACAATGTATGGCCAATCAATTTTTTTAAGGGTACTTTACAAGCCGCTTCGCAAATGTCAATGTGGGACAATAGAAAATGTGAGTCTTTTGTTTCCGACAACATTTTGTGCAATCCGAGTTGCAATGTAATTCATTTGTTATGTTTGTGCAATAACATGACGAATTCCACATATATTTTTGTATGGCGTCCTTATCTTTATTACCAAAGGGCAAAATCACGTTTTGATTTATTTCTCCTTCTAATATGATCTAATTGATTCTAGCACGATAGCTTGTCTTCTAAAAGCAAACTCAAATGGATTCAATTTTTCAACCACCCTGGAATTCTGCAGGGACATGCATTTTCAATTATTGTTATATTAATTTCCACCAGTGTAGAATTTTTTACAGCCTATTTATGACAAACGCACTTCAAGAGAACTTTTCTGAATAAACAAACTTTTCATACGCGCTTGCGTAAAAGAAATGTAATTTAGAACTGTAATTGTTAATAAAACTTGCATGATTTTACGATGATTTTCCAGCTCAGTAAATCGAGGTATTAAAATTCCAACGATATACGCTTCTTACATGACTAAGGTATGAATCATATGAAGTTTCAAAGAATATCTTGTGGCAAAAATGCATACGACATTCATATGAAATCCAGTAGATTTATTCGCTCAGTGTAGCAATTGGTAATTGATAAACAATTATCCATCAAACAGACCTTTTGCTGAGATCTCAGTAAAAGCATAACCCGAGCTGGTCGGCGGTGCCAATCTCGGCAAAAACGACTAGGTCGATGGGATGAATGTCTCCTGGAATGTGTTACAGCTTTAAAATTCGTTGATCCATGGTTTTATAATTCACCCGGAAAACACCTTTTTGTAGTCACACATTGCTACACATAACTTCATCAATATAATTGAAACATCACAAGTGTCATCATATAATAAGAATCTTGAACTCATTTTAATAAAAAAAAAACTTACATTTCCATTCGATATCTCCAACGAGAAGGCTGGGAATCCATTGATGGGTTCGGCAACACTCATCAATATTCCATTGACTTCCGACGTCCGCAGCTCTAGATCAACGTCCATGAACTTGCCAACATTGAAGTTGCGCTCTAAAATAATCAAATGTTATTAAATATTCGTACACAACACAGCTAAGAAACATCAAATCATACTGTAAACAGCATACGCATCTCCCGGAAAGTAGGAACCCTGTTCAATCCTGGGAAAGCACTGCCCAACGTTCAAGTGGCGCCCGGGCCGTGCCAGGTCCTGAGTGTTGTTGTTCACCGAAAATTTCCGCAAACATCCCTTGAATTCCTCCGGCGTCGGTTGCAGGTCCTTCGGCAGTGGCGTTTCGTCGGGAATGCCTCCGACGAACAGATTGTTGGCAGCATTCAGTTTCTTTGGTAATTTTATCTGCGCCGAGCTGAGACTGTTTCCAATTTGGACGCTGAGCGTGGCTTTCTTCCGTATGCTATTCAGAGACACGTGATGCCATTGACCGTCGTTAAGCTTCACTGGCAGATGAAGTTGGTCCCGCTTGCGACCCCGCACGGTTAAGGTCAAGGAGCCATCCTTTAGCCCCAAAGTGATAAAGTGTTTCGCTTTGTCTTTGGAACCCTGTTGGATAATACAGAATTAATTTCTTATCGGATCTTACGCAAATAGACAAACATGGGCTTACCAATGCCACGAAGAGGACTCCATTGGGATAGAAGGTGCGGAAATCGAACTGGATATTGAAATTCCTCTGCCAAAGATGACGAGCTGCAACGTTGACTATCGAATGGCTTTGCGGTTTGTCACCGTACTTGAAAGCATTCGGTTCGTATGAGTAGCTTCCAACCTGGAATCGATCCGTTGCGTTAGTTTTGAAATGGTTACAATCGAAAGCGAATCTGAATTACCTTTGTTACTGAGCTAAGCGTTTTGTGTGTGAAAATTAGTGCCAGTTTAGTACCAGATAAAAGATACACCCAATTGAAATTAATAGTGTGCGATTGCTCGTGAAAGTAAATCTATGTGCGGAAATACAATTTCTATCGAAAAAAAAAACCTTCACCAAGGAGTTCAAAAAACTAGATAAGGTAATGATAAACTAATGATAAAACAGAAGTTGTGACAGTTAAACGACATGCAAAACTAAATAATTACTAGATATGAAGTTCTAAACTGCGTTCGAGCTAATTTCGCTAACAACCGTTAGTATTATCAACACTCTGTAAGTACAGAAATTATCAAAAAGAGGTTAATTGTAGCGTTAAAAACCCTGCTTTGGTTTAAGCCATGTTCTACAACCAACACCTACCCTGTTGCATCCCTCTGGAGGTGGTTTGAAGCTACGGCTGAAAGGTTGCGTCTGTTGGAACGTCGTATGCAGCACGTTCGAGCCCATATCCGGTCCAGAACGACCCATCTGGACATTGGTAAAGTTGATAGCTTGATCGAATGAAATTGTTCGATTGTTGAACACAACGTTGGCGATCACACCTTTCAATCCATTGAACGACTTGGACAGTGAATCGAACGCGGGATCATCTGGAACACCTCCCATAAATAGACCTCCCATCTCACCGGGCATATTGACTAAGGCTTGTGCCTTCGGTAGAGCTTTGGATCCTTGGAATTCATCGTCGATCCGCAGTTCAACGGTTCTTCCACGCTTGATCACACTTATCACGTGGTACTCTCCATCACTTAACGAGTTGTTTGATTCCAACTCGACGCGCCCTGCTCCGGAGTCTACCCACAGGTTGAGCTTGCCTTCATGAAGGAATACAGAGTAATTTCCTCGCATGTCTTTCGAGTCATACTCGTTGGAAAGACTCGACGGGAAGCCAGACAGCAACAGGGAACAATTTGGTTCCAACGTCCGGAATACGAAACCGAAGTTCGCTCGCTTCCTCAGACTATGCGATGGGAGCTCTACAAAGCCGTTCCCATAGAACCCTGCTCTACTGATCGTATCAACGCAAGATCCCTCTATACCGAAGTGTTTGGAACTATCTAGCGGATCATAAGATACCCCAGTTATCTGAACGCCTTTCAGACATCCAAGGAACGCATGATCAGCTCCAGGTGCTTTAGTAGTTCCAGATTTGAATCCTGGAGGGACGCCACCCAAGTAGTAATTTTCACTCAAATTCGGTAGCATTCCCGAGTTGATCGGTTTCGTTGGAGCTCCCCGGAACTCCTCCTTGTTATCCACTTTGAGGATGCCATTTTCGGTGCTTCCCTTGGAGAATGATCGTGCTGCTTCAACGACAACCCACTGACCTGTATTGTAACGGTTTGTTGTATTGATTTCCAGTTTCGAATCACCGCCGTAATCTACGCGAAACACCAGCCGTCCTTGGTAGAGCGTTAACGAGATGGAACGGTTCTGAAATTGGAATAGTTGAATTCTTCATATGTTAATGGTATTCTGACTTTACTCACATTCACTTCATCCAAAGCCAGGAATATGAGGGCATTCTCGTCCAACGTCTTAAAGCTCAACGTCAAACTGAATTGATTCTTGCTTCTATGGCTCGATGACTTCTGCAGCACTGCGTAGCCATCTCCGTTAAAGTGTCGCTCGTTAGTAGTGCTTGAACTTTCCTGAGGTCCCAACATAGCTCCACCGCAATCTCCACTGGATGACATAAAGTGCCACAAACCAAGCTGTCTCTGATCCACATACATCTGACTCAGCACAACCCCTAGACCTTCTTTAGTTTGCAGCTCAGGAGTTCTCAAATTATCCGGAACTCCACCAATCCAAATCCTGCTGCTTGGGCCCATAGTCAATGTGGAGGACACCGAACTACTCGCTCCAGCAACCGGGTTTGCATGTACCAGCACTCCACTGTGCGTCATTCGACGCACGTTAAGATTACACAAATTGAACGTCCTGTTCGCTTCGATAAAGTACCATGCGTCGTCATACTTAGGATCACGTTGCTTGATCTCCGTTGGATGAGTGATCACCACCACTTCATCACCCAAATTCCAAACCAACCGAATCTTTCGTTTGTACATTTCAAGGGCCATAAACCGACGTTCCTCTCCTTGGAGATAGATCAAAGGTGAATCCGTATTATCAGAATTAAGAGCCACTGACATCATGATGCGATTCGTGGTTGATGGACCGTAGGAAACTGGAGCGTACGATCGCATACACTCGTTTTGCGATTCTAGGGAAACCCGGATCTGAAAGAAGAATCTGTTGATTTTTTTTCCTTTTAATTATTATCTAGCAAAAACTCACCCCTTCTGCAGCATGTTTGGCACGGGCAATCTTGTCCTTGAGCTCCTGAAGTTGCGCCGAAAATGAAACATTCCATGCTTGGAATTTTTGACTTTGAATCTTTGCCAGTTTTTCCACGCCACTCAGTTCCTTCTTGGCGTTCAAAATGTTACCCAATGACTGTGACACATTCTCCTCTGCCATACCGAACTTTGAATCCCACTCCGGTTCCAGTTTAGCCAGTTTCAGCTTCAACTTATAAACATCACTGTTCAAACCAACTGCCTCTTCCCGGACGAATTTCATTTGATCGGAAACGATATTAGCTTGATCGAGCGTACCCTGCAGTTTCTTCATCGTGTCACCCCTCGTGATCAAACCCTGTTCCTCCAAAACCTTGTTGTTATCAACTCCCGCCAGTCGCATCTTGTATTGCAAGCTCTTTACTTGCTTCTCCTTCGATACCATAACCTCATTCAGCTCGTTTGCTTTCTCCAACTCCTTGTGTGCTTTCTTTTCAATGTTCGAAGAAACATTCAACGCGTGCTCGCTCCGCTCTATCAACGGAACGTCGCCAAGTGGATTCACCTTATTGTTTGCCACTCGTCCACTGTCCGTAGCATTATCTGCCAATTCCTGAGCAGATACAATCGCTGCCACCATATTCTCGTAAGCCATGCTAGCCTTCATAGCATTCGCAGCACCATCCTCCGTTTCCGTGAACAGCTGCTGAAACTCATCCGATTCTTTCTTCAACCGTTCCGCATGCTCTTTCGCTTCCGGCACTTCATTCGCCATCAATTCCTCAAACTTTTCATCAAATTCCATAATCGTTTCCTCCAAAGCATCATTCAAGTATCTTAAATTCTCCTTGTTCTGCGCCAATTGCTTATGGTTATCCTTGATCTTCTCATATTTAACTCCAGCATCAGTCAGCACATCCTCATCCAAGAAAGCGTCCAAATCATCAACCATTTCGTCTGCTTGTTGGAAGTTCCGTTCAACCTCCGCCAGTTTTCGTCTATTTTTACTCGCAAACATCTCCGTCAAAATCGCATTATTGAACACCTCCTTGTTCAACCGGTCAAAATCCACCATCCGATCGTCGAACAGCGAATATTCAAACTTCAAATAATCCAGTCGCTTGTTCTGTCTCTGCACGATTTCCGATTTGTTGCCCCAGAGATCATACTGCCTTGCAGCACACTCCAGCACATCTGGCCGGGAATTACTCTGACCGTACTTGAGCTTGATGTCGTCTAGTAGATCGGTAGCTTCCTTCAGCGCAGCTGGCAGCTTGATATGACTGTCACTCGATCCGTAGTTATCAAGCACTCGTATCGTTTGCTCGATGTCGTCCTTCATTGCGTGTATATCGTCTGCTAACGCCACGGAGCGTTCCATAGTTTTTATGACCGAAATGTCTCGAAATTCGTTCAGCCGATTGGTGAGCTTGTTGTGGTGTTTGTTCAACAAAGTTGCGTTGCGCTTCATCTGGAATTTTGGAATTTGAAAAAAAAAACTTGTATTACTTGAGCTGTTCTCTATGGTATATAATGTATTACGATACTCACATTATCCAAAATAGACTGATCAAAGTTGACCAAACGGTCCTTCACGTCCAACAGTTGGCCGACTGCGGAGCCCAAAGCTTCCGAGTCTTGTTCGAATTGCTCCAAATCGATCCATGGAGCTGGGATGCCGTTCCTATCGATATGATCCGTCTCACGTTCCAGGTTGTCGGTTAGGTAGGTAAGATCGTCGATCAGTATCACTGTGCAGTTGTCGCAGGCTGTTTCAAGATAAAGCAATTAGATTTCCTCAAGAGATGCATTTGAAAACCTTCCTGCCCATGGGATTAATTCGTATCATGTATTTGTAAACATGTCTTCGTTGTGGTTCGGTTAGTCTCCATCAGGGTTGATAATGACGTTAACGCCGTTAACGTTATTAGCAACCCTGGTCCCCATTGAGTAGTATGAATAAAAAAGAGAATGCATCTAGTTAAGTAAAATATTGGCAGTAAATAATTCTTTTTAATGAGATCTTCTATGAAGTTCGTTAGAATAATTCAAAAGTTTCCTGAATAAATATGAATCTACCTGAACTTCTGCAGATAATACCTAACTAATAACTGACTGTGTTAGATATTAGTTGGTGTAGAACAATAGTCATAATATAAATGATATCAACATATATTTGAATATATAAAAAAAACTTGATTGTTGAGTCGTACAACATTACACTCAAATTGAGAAAACTTGAAGTCGTACAATAATTCCACACTCGATTTGAGTAAACTTGAGTAAACTTGTAGCGATAATTTAATTATCTAAAGAAATGCACATTTAAACATTAGGGTGAGTCATCATGATCATTTTTGCAGAACAATGTTGTTTTGGTTCCATTTGGGGTCCCAAACAACTATGCGAAATTTGGGGACGATTGGTTGTAACCCGGTTTTCCGCATTGCTATTGAAATTTGTAAGAAAATTACCTACTTTTTGCATTTTTATTTCTCTGCACTACAATTTTGATAGAACCTAATCATGTTAAACTATAGTCTAGAAAGTGCCTAACAACTTTGCCAAAGAATGTACGGTGCTAGAATGCCTCCAGAATATGTTATAGCTGTTCAAAGATCAATTTTTCGAATTAAATGCCAAAAATTACATTTCCTGCCAACACTGCCGGTGTACCAATAAGGTCAAATTCCAAACTGAAATAATTTCGGAGTTTCTTATTTTATTAATTTGGTATGTTCTAATGAATTATTCAAAAACAATTTCTCAATATCATAGGAAAAGTTAGAGAGGAGGCCTGCCCTTACTAAACCCCCGCCCTCACTCACATAAATGGAAGTAAAGCTTCAAACTGAAATAATTTCGGTGTTTCTGATCTCATCAAGTTGTTATGTTCAGATGTATTCAAAAACATTGGCTTCATTTAATAGGCATAGTTGGATATGAGGGTGAGTTAACTGTATCCCCTCCGCCCCTCACTTATGCCAATGCATTGCAATGAAAGTAAAGATGAAGACTGAAATAACTTCGGAGTTCAATTTCATAAAAGCAGTTTGAAAATGAGTTCCCCCACCCCTCTTTTGGTATAATATACAATGTCAGATATATTCACACTAATATCATTGGATTGTAATGATTATATCTCAGTTTAATATATTCTACGATTTCTCATGGTACTCTCTCGATGCTGTTCGATCACCTGAAGCAAATATTGCTGTTGAACTGGGTCTCGGGTGGATTTCTTCAGCCACATCGTTGACAACCATCAAGGAAGCAACTCGTTGATTCGCATTGAAATAATCTGTATCAGTACTCCAATCGTTTGCCGGTTTTCGCAAGAAGTCGGTCGCAATTTCAAAGGAATCAGCACTGTCAGAAATGACGATTGACTTTGATTTAGGTGGGCTACTGCCCAACTAATAGAAGCCCACTTAAAGATAGCTCAACGAGTGAAATCCGACTGTACCTGTGTCTGAGATGAAATTCGTGAAGACAGTTTTCTTGTTCTCCTGGATTTTGACGTAGGACTACTTGTGTGTTTTATATATGGGGTGGTCCTAATGGCAGTTTAACATTTCAAATTAAAGGTTTTTATTGAAACTTAAAGTCTTCCAACTGCTAATAATTTAAACAACATCACCTCACTAGCAACTGTACGGACAAGTGAATATTAAATATTTACACTACAACAATTTTCGATTGAAAAAGTGTCAATAGTAAGCCACCCTTCACCCCTCTAACTACGCTTATGAGATTGAGCAATTGTTTTTGAGTAGGTCTAAAATCGATAAGATAAGAAAATCGAAATCTATTTCAGTTTGAAACTTTACTTCCATTAATACAGGGTGTTCGGTTCCATAGTGCAAATAATTTAAGGGACGATAGAAGATCATATTTGAAGTAAAAAAGTGTTCTACGGATATGATCAAATCTCAAAGATTACTGAGTTAGATAATTTTTTTCTGTTTTGGTCTATGCTTGCCACAAATTGACTCTAACTTGAAAACTATGCCATTTAGCACAAAACTCTTGCCGTCGGTGATAAATGCGTCCACTGGTTTTGGAGTATTCCACGATCTTCATAGCGCCTCATACAAGCTTCAAAAGCCGTGTTCGGTATACGTTGCTGAACTAGCAGCTATATCGTACACGTAAGAGCGTATTGCCTCACTTCCACCTGACCATTATTTCATTTTTACGGATAGCCTAAGCTCCCTGAAGGCTATGCGTTCAATGAGGCCGATGAAGCACTCGGCGTATTTCCTCCAGGAAATACGATCGTCATTGAGTGCTTTATCAAACAGCTCGCATATCATCACCTTGGTATGGGTCCCTTCTCATTGCTCTATCCCGGGCAATGAGAAAGCGGACTCGCTGGCCAAGGTGGGCGCTATGGAAGGCGATATTTACGAGCGACAAATCGCCTACCACGAATTTTTCACGATTTCTCGTCAGCAAGTCCTCGCCAACTGGCAACAAAAGTGGAATGATGGTGATCTGGGAAGATGGCTACATTCTATTGTCTAACAGATGTCGATCAAACCCTGGTTCAAAGGGTTGGATATTAGTCGTGATTTTATTCGTGTAATGTCCAGGCTCATGTCCAATCACTGTTTGTTAAACGCCCACCTCTTCCGTATTACGCTTGCCGACAGCAACTTGTGCACCTGTGGAAACGGTTATCACGACATCGAGCATGTTGTTTGGTCCTGCTCCTTGCATCATGAGGCGAGATCCGTTCTGTGTGATTCCTTTAGGGTCCGAGGAAAACAACCCTTTAAGCCAATTAGAGACGTCTTGGCTTGCCGTGATATCGTCTTTATGAAGCTTATTTACGACTTTCTTAAAGCTGTTGATGTATGTGTTTAATGTTTTGTGTTTTAGTCATCCTTTACGTTTATGTTTTAAATTAGTTCCCTTGTCCTCCCTCCAAATGATCAATAAATGTAATCCCTAATCTCGAGAAAGCCGCGAGTAATCGGCCCTCGTTCTACTATCATTAGTTGTAAGAAATGATATTAATGTAACAAATATTCGGCACCGCAAAGCTAACGCATTTGAGCCTTGACAAATAAATGGATTATAAAAAAAAAACTCTTGCCTCCATTCAACAGCTGGTAAATTTCCTACTTGATAGTGTCATTTCTACTTTAAGTAAGCTGCATTTAGACACATTTTAGGGATAGACGAGTCGAGTTTTCTTACGGGTTTTCCCTTATTATTCAAAAAAATACGTAATAAAGTGTATTGTTTTGTCTAACCAGTAGATGCCCCTTAATGCACTCTACAACTCTCTCTTGACACCAATTTTCTATCTCGTTTAGTTTTGTCGATATTTCGTACTAAACACATCATGTTGGGTCGTTAATTAACGGTTGGGTAAAACACGCATTCAACCCCACTGTGCGTTGCTGTTGACGTCTGTTTGCAGCGCGCATAGCACACTTGATCGCTACGCGGAGTGACGGTGAACAATTTTTTGCTTCAAATATGATCTTCTATCGTCCCTTAAATTATTTACACTAAGGAACCGAACACCCTGCATAAGTGAAAAATACTGTTTAATAACCCACCATATGGGTATTTTTGATGTGTAGGTACCAGAAATCCATGTCTGACACCATTTGTGAATTTAAGATGGCGGCATCCGGTTACAGAAAACAGCAAAATACTGTCAAATACCCAACATTATGGATATTTTTTGAATCGGGGTGACGTGTAAGAACCGGAAATCCATGTCTGACATTATTTTTAAAACCAATATGGCGGCTTCCGGTTTGAAAACAACTGAAAAATACTGTCATATGGGTATTTCTGGAATATGTGTGACGTGTAGGGACCGGAAATACATGTCTGATGCTATTTTGAAATCCAAGATGGTGGCATCCAGCCACCATCTTGGATCAAAATGGTGTCAGGCATCGATTCCAAAAATACGCATATTGTGGGGTATTTGACAGAATTTCCAAGTATTTCTGTAACGGGCAGCCACCATCTTAGATTTCAAAATTGGATCAGACATCGATTTCCGGTCCCTACACGTCAATCCGATTTCAAACATTCCCATATTGTGGGGTATTTGACAGAATTTCTAAGTTTTTCTGTAACCGGAAGCCGCCATCTTGAATTTCAAAATGGAGTCAGAAATCGATTTCCTGACCGTAAACGTCACTGTGATCTCAAAAATACCCATATTGTGGGGCATTTTACAGAATTTTAAGAATCCTCTTCCTATACGACACTCCTATTCCAAAACGACCCATATTGTGGGGTATTTGATAGTATCCAGTTTTTATGAAACTGGAAGCCGCCATTTTGGTTTTCAAAATTGAATCAGACATGGATTTCCGGTTCGTATACGTCACTCTGATTCCAAAAATTTCCATATTGTGCGGTATTTGACAGACTTTCCATTTTTTTTCTGTAACCGGAGGCCACCATCTTGGATATCAAAATCGAGACAGATGAATTTCCGGTCCCTACACGTCAATCCGATTCCAAAGATACCCATATTGTGGGGTATTTGATTGAATTTCGAAGTTTTTCTGTAACCGGAAGCCGCCATCTTGGATTTCAAAATGGCGTCAAACATCGATTTCCGGTCCCTACACGTCACATCGATTCCAAAAATACCCATATTGTGGGGTATTTCACAGTATTTTCCAGTTTTCCAAAGTCGCAAAAACAACTCGTTATTTAGAATTTACATAGTAAAAAGAAAACTCGTTATTTGAGAGGGCCGTAACTTGAATATTGCGTAAAAAAAGAC